AGTACTTAACTGGCAGGCATATTGCATGCGTGCCAAGGTATGTATTTCTCCTTTAAAAATAAGGCCTTTGTAACATACAAGTGCTATGGGAGACCAGCTGGGGGTTGTTTTTTGTTGTTTTTTTTTTTTTTTGTATTAATAGGGGCAGAGGTGGTGGTGTCTGTCAGCATTGTGCTTCCTGAAAAGCCATCAATGCAGCTGCCTATCTGGGCAGCATCAATTATTTTGGTTTAACTGCATAAACAAAAAGTCTCTTCTTGCAACTTCTCCTAATGAGGGCACTGCTTAAATTCCAGTGCCACCAACTCTGTTAGAACATATGAACCTGCCTTGGTCCATCTAGCTTAGTAATATCTGTGTCTATTTGATATAAGCTGTTTATTTTAAAGTTATTGTGACTTTTTGGTATTGGATCAGATTGTTATTAAGTATGCAATCTTTGTTGTCCATTTTGTTACCTCTTCAGCTTGTAAACCACCTTGTGTATAGTAATTATAGGTGGTATACAAATTAAAAGTGAATGAAGGGCAGTATCTGGCAGAGGCAGTAATTTACTGATTTAGACTCTGAACTTAATGGACTTATGGGAGGGGGTTTTAGATGGTCGTATGCATTACTTCACTTACTTCCATATGTGGTGAGTCAGCCTTGCTGTGTCTGAGGCCTCCCCTTCTCATTCTGAGGAATGGGGGGGGGTCCCACACTTCAGCCCCAAAATCCTACCTTGATGGTACCACCGGGTCTTTCCAAGCTCTGAGCCCTGAGACCCTTTTAACAAGAGAGGTTGGGGAATAAAGAACAGTCATACAAACTAATGCGTAAGGAGGGGAGGGCAAATTAGTTTAACAGCTCTTTATTTTTAGATGCTGCTTAAACTATATTTGCGTGATTTGGATCGTGTGAAGATGGGCCTGGGAGGAATGCCAGACCAGAGAAACCTCTCTGATGCCAAAGCTGATCTTGAGAACGTCATGAAGGTGCATCCGTGTCTGAAGACTTACCTTGACCTAGGCCAGGTGAGTGAAAGCAACCACCTTGTCCAGACATAGTCATTGTCTTCACTTTATTTTATCTGTATGATAATAAAAGTGTTGTTGTTCATTCAGGCTTTAACAGGGCTAAGGCTGCATTCTTAACTTCAGTACCTTGGAAGCGAGCGCTATTTGAATCCAATAGTATTTTTGAGTAAACATTGTTAGCATTGCACTTTTTAATTATTTAATTTTAGAGTGTTAATTCTAGAGAGATCTGAGAAATGTAATCAGAATGTGATGAGAGCATATCCATTTTTAACCACTAGTAACATCTAGAGAAGTTCCTGTATGTGCATGGATCTCTGAAGGGATGAGCAACATAAGGAGCTATTCTGAACTTTCAGTTCGACTACTTGCTATGGTTTTATTTGGTGTGACTCACCCACAAGCCAGGTGCTTGGGAGGAAGCCTTGTTGAAGTGGCTATAGTATGTGAATCTTTTGTTCCCTAATACATTAATTTAATAGAAAGTTCCTGCCTAGCAGGCTACTTAGCCAACTCAAGGTTCCAATGGTGTTGACCTATGTAAAGCCCTGACGTTGCCCTGGAATAGCTTTGTCTCTGTGGGGTGCTCTCTCTCCCTCAACTTGCCCATTCTGAGGGGAAAATGCTTTCAGATAAAAAATGAAGAGCTGAATGTCACTGAGGTCCTGTTTTAGTTTCTTTAATGATTGATCATACAGGGGCTTCTTGACTATAACTCTGTTATTACATAGCCTCACTGTTAACACACAGCCTCATTCTACAAGCTTTTAAGAAAGGGAGGGGAAATCTATGGCCCTCCAGATGTTGCTGGACTACAACTCCCATCATGCCTCACCATTGGCCATTGCTGGCAGGAAATGCAGTCCAACAACTACCGGAGTGCCACAGGTCCCCCCCCCCCGTGCTTTAAGAGAAAGTACAAGATATTCCAGAAATTTTTTTATGGTTCATTACCATTATATTTAAAAATGTATTTTCTGGCTGTTACTCAACAGTGAACATTTATGGATTTGTTTTCTGCAAGCTGTAAGCCATCTTTGTTCTTTTGACATGTTTGTTTAAATAAATGAGTGTTCCTCCTTTCCCTTCCACTGCTCTTCTAGGTATGTTACTACATGGGAGTAGATGCCATGCAGGAACTTTTACTTGTAGATGAAAATGCCGTGAACAATGCCCTCGTGTTCTTTGCTAAAGCCATGGAATTAGACCTGGGGAATGTTTTGCCTGAAATCCAGCTGCTGAGGGGGAAATGCCTTCGGATAAAAAATGAAGACCTGAATGCCATGGAATGCTTCAAGCAGGCAATAGAGCTGGATGGTGTGGGTTCTGTTTACACAGAGAGCTTCCGTTGCTTAATGGAAATGCTGCTTGCCTTGTTCAGTCAGAAGAGGATGAATACAGAGATGCTGATGAAGGAAGTAGAGTTGTGGGTGAAGAAGGCTGAGGAGAAATATCCCAAACAGCGAGTGCAGCAGGAGCTTAGGCTAGTGTGTCGTCACTACACAGCTGAGGTACTTGAGCTCTCCAAAGCCATGGTGGCCAGAGGGAAGACTGAGCTGGTGAAATTGCTCTTTGAGACCATGAAGTGTGACTTTAACAAAGGTAGACGGAATGAACGCTCACTCTCCTTTTGAATGGCTGGTTTGCTTTTCAGCCACGTGGCATAGCAAGAGGTTTAGCTCTCCCCATAGTTTGCGGAAAGAATTATGAAAAGCTATATAATAAAATGTGGTACTTTCTAGAGCACCCACCAAGTATTATTCTCCCATATACATGGAGGAGTCGAGGTATGTGTGCTCATATTAAAAAATGAGCGTGCTTAATTTTTTCCAAAGCAAAACATTAAACAAGCTCAAAACGTTTACACTATGTATGTATGCATAGCACACAGAAGCAGGTCAACAGGAGATAAAATAGCCTTCATTTATTACTGGGAAGCAGGTAAGGTGTAAGTGATTTACAGCAACACTCTGACAACATTTTACATGTATCATTTCCCAACCATCAAAACTTAATGTGACCAGATATTGATACTTATGTCTTTGCTTTGGATATATACATTCATTTAACTTAATTGTAGCAACCTAGCGATGTGCTCTTCTGTTTGGAAGAAAACCACCACCATCACCCCATATTTTTCACTTAATGAAAAAGAGATATAATAGCAGGTGTTTATTTAGATTTTTTTTAAAAAAATCAAGAATATGTATGTACCTGTTTGGTTTTGTCTGTTGAAAATATAGAATGAAAGCCTCCAAATTCACTATATTTTGTTGTTAGGTATGTTTTACATTTTCTGCACCTGCCTTTGAATCAATCGTTGTCTTCACATATCATGTGGGCTTCTTGCTAGGCCACATATTGAACTCACAGAATGGATTAATTCTGAACGGATTGTGGGGCTGTTCTTTTGCCACATTTCCAGAGCAATTAATTAAAACCACCAGATATGTTAACAGTCATGTTCAGAATCACATATTCAGTAACTTATTTACTGATCTTATCAAGTATGCAACCCGTGGGTGCCAACTTCCTGAGGCCCTGCATGGCTGAGCACCTACAAAATTCCCCATAAAGAGGAAGGGAACCCACACATTTCAGTGCCAAGGCCATACACGCTGCATGGCACCCATGGCCACGGGGCCAAGCTGGCACTCCTGTGCAACCAGTTACATTGGTGCTGCTATTCTGAGATATACTCACTGCATTTAAATAATGAATTTCTTGCGGGACTCTCCAAATAGCCAACACCTGTTGATTCATGCTTGGACATTAGCTCATGTGATAGTTTAAGCTGTTCCTGGTCGCAAGACATGTTGTTAGCCTGGCAAGGAAAAGACAGTCTCTCAATTGTCAATGTGTCCTTCATTCTGATCTTATAGGAATGTTTCAAGTGATCTAATGTGGCATTATAATAGAAGAAAAACAGCACATGCTACACGGCGAATATCAACCAAGAGAGAAAAGCACTGGGTGATGTTGAGAAGGATGAAACCCAAGCTCTCAGGAATGACACTGCTCAGCACCCTCCATTCTGACTCTGCTCTGAATGCACAGATCCATTCTTCAGGAGTCCTTTAGCAACAGGGCTGCTGGGATATAGCCGGGTGAAGCGGGCAAGTGCACAGATAGGGAAGATGATTCGGTAGGCATTGTAATGCAGAGTACCAGCTTTGTAGAATGCTGCAGCAATGTCACCCTGAGGAGAGGCAAAAGAGAAATTCCTGAACAACCGACATGCAGTCTTCTGTCCTGACTTCATGGTGACTAAATTCCATTTGAGAACCCGGTTGTATGATCACTGCAACCTCTTTCAAGATCAACTGTCACATACAGAATCATTGAGCTTTTGTTTGGCCAACAAGACTCTGGAAGCAGGAATCAGAGACCAGAGCCAATTAAAATGTAGGAAAGGCGACTAAAGACATTGTAGCATCTCAGGCAGAATATCCAAATGGTTCCATGATTAAAAAATAAAATAATTAACTGGCAGTCTATGGCTTTTTAAAGGCACCCCTCTGAGCTGCCACATGTATGTAACAGTAGGGCCAGCTGTGTCCTGTGCTCTGATACCACACAAACTCAATCCTGATGGCACATTTTGATGCCACAGCAGGAACAAGACAGGTGCATGAATCACTTGGGTGCCTAAGGCAACAGAATACTTCCCACAGGAACATCAGAGTGTCCAATAGAGGGAGAATATGGGAAGCACTTGTAAGATCTCAGCTGCCAATGCCACACAAGTGTCCATGTGTGTCCACAATACATTGCAGCCATGTACGAGAAGCAACTTTATGACAACAACAATGCCAATGAGAGTACATTCTGATCTGCCTCATTCAGTAAGTGAGGGGTGGATAACCTTTGGTCCTCCAAACATTGAATTGCAATGTTTGGAATTGCAATTGCTGAACAGTTGCAATTGCTGAATTGCAACTCCCATCATCCCTGTCTATTGCCTATGTAGGCTGGAAGGCAACAACTTAGCCACCCCCACTCTCAGTACTTGGTGGAAAATGCTCTGCGTTCGTTCATTCATTTTACATATATTTGGAGAACATGATCCATTTCATAGCTGGCTGAAATATGCTGTTTCTGTGAACCTTGAAATTATATTGCTATGAGGATATTTGATTAGGAAAAGAAATTAAAAGTATTAACACACCTGAGGCCACTCCCCAATCGATGTCTGTCTGTCAATCAAAACTTGTATTCCTCTTTCCAGAACCCGAACATCAGGATATCTGCAATGCCACAAGAATACTGGACATTAGTTTTGTTATCAGCACCCAGTGAGGGCTGGGGGCTGGAGCAAGGGGAAAGCCTATCAGTTTTCTTCTGGGAAGAAGCTTATATGATTACAATTTCTTTTTAAAAGAAAGAAACCCTCATGGGCTCACAGAAACTCAATGGGTCCCCCTAGGGGAAAGACCTGTAAGTGCATGAGTCCTTCACACAAGTTCCAAAAAGTGAAGCAGCTAAAGAAATTAAATTTTTCCACCTCTGCCCTTAAGACGGCCTTAACTGCCCCTTTGTTTGGCATTATTTCAATTGTTTGGACTAAGAAGCACCTGAGAACATCTACAGTCCTCTGTAAGTTTACACAAGCTAGCTATGCAGCATGAGGGACACAACATGTGAGAGGGAAGTCTGTGGCCTGTTTTTCCATAGGTTTTCAAAGGAGTAATGGCACCCAATGAAAATAAGCACAACCAAAGATACTTCCAGAAGGAGGCGCCTCTTGTGATGGAGGATTAGGCTGCAAACACACCGTAGGTTTAGAGCAAATTACTTCCTACAAGGAATCCTGGGAACTGCAGCTCTGTGAAGGATAAAGTACAGTTCCCAGGATTCTCTAGGGAAAGTCATGTGCTTTAAAGGTACACAGCTCACTGCTTTTGGGTGCTGGTAGCTCCATCTCCCACGGCTAGCCTGCTTCAGCCAACAGGCCCAGAACAAATTTATGCAAGTAATGCAATGCACTCATAGTGAATGGATAATGTGTTTTTGTGAAAAAGACTTTGGAGGAAATGGACTTGGGGCAGATCAGCCCCCTCTTGCCAAACCCCATGAATGTAGAAGCATGTTTCTTTAGCACGCCTTAATTGGTTTGTCTAACTGCTGCAGAAACCACTTGGGCAAAAGCAGACAGAAGCCTTTGCTAAGGTAGGTAACTGCCAGCTTCTGTGCTTACCTAACAGCCATCAGCCCCAACAGAGCCCAGGAGGTATGGTGGATCTGGGATACGGTGTGCTGAATATATTTGCGAAACCTGTAGGATTCAAATTCCTCTCCCCAGCCACCGTCTTCCATTTGCTTGGAGACTAAGAATTCACAGGCTTTGGTCACTTCCTTGCATGCCTCCCTGGAAAATATGAGAGGGGAGAGAGAGAAAATAGTCCATGAGATGCCTCATTGGGTTTTGTTCCACTGTTGGCCTTGACTGCATCCAAAGAATCTCATGCACAATTACCTGCAGGTAAGGCCCACTAAGCTCAGCTGGATTTACTTCTGAGTAAGCATGCATAGGGGCTGGCGCTGTCAATATTATATGCACATGACTCCCCTGCCTTTGATATTTTGGGTGGAGGAGCCTGACGGTCTCTCCACTTCACACACCCCCCCCCCGAAGCTCAGCTCCATCAAGGGCTCCCAGCAGAGCAACATTCATACTAATCTTCTACCCGAAAGGCTGCTTACTCACCCACCACGGTAGATGTATCCCATACATGCAAATGCCTCTAGTCCAAACCAGGTGCCATATGTGAAGCATACGCCCCATCGCCTGTCAGGGAGGAAAAACCCATCAGCCGCTGAATGAAAGATACTGAGACAAATGACAGACTACACCCTTTGAGTATACCCTTCCATTCACTGTTTGTTTCATAGAATCATAGAGGTGGAAGGGACCATGAGGGTCATCTAGTCCATGGGTAGGCAAACTAAGGCCCAGGGGTCGGATCCGGCCCAATCACCTTCTAAATCTGGCCCGCTGACGGTCCAGGAATCAGCATGTTTTTACATGAGTAGTATGTCTCCTTTTATTTAAAATGCATCTCTGGGTTATTTGTGGGGAATAGGAATTCGTTCCCCCCCCCCAAAAAAAAATATAGTCTGGCCCCCCCACAAGTCTAGGGGACTGCTGAAAAAGTTTGCTGACCCCTGATCTAGTCCAACCCCCTGCAATGCGAGAATCTTTTGAATTTCATGTTCCTAGTCAAAGTCAGAATCTCTTATTGCTATATAACTTGTTATTTTATTTTTTTCTTGTTGTACATTTAACTAGATCTAATTTATATAACCAGTTATTTTTTCTTACTGGCTGTAGATCTAAGGGTGTGAATTCTCATGATGACTCATGAAGGGATCAGTATGGGATCAGTATATAGTGTTACCAACAGTACAGTATGTTTTCTCTCTAAGCCTAATGACAATGTGAAGTTTTGTGCAACTACCTAATGCAACTATATTGTTAAAAGACTGCTCAGTTGAACGGTCACAAAATCCTGCCTCAGAACAGACATAGATTTACTGAGGGTGGAAAAAGCTGCTGATGCCTAGATATTGGTACTACATTTTAGGCTGCTGGTTTCAAATCACTCCTCAGACAGGCTAACATCAGTTATTTGTTGTGAAGAAGACCCCTAACTGCCCTCTTAGCTGCCACATGCTGAATTTGCCTATTTCATGCATCAGGGTTAAGTCTGATCCGGCTCTGTTTATTTTTAGGATCTCATTGCATCAAAAAAGAGGCTGCATACTCATCCTTTCATTCCCGTGCATAGAGTTAGGCTGCAGCATTCCCCTCCACAGCGAGAAGGCAATACTGTGCATTTATGAGAAATCCCGTTCCTTGCTTGTGTTTTACCCTCCATCCCAAAATAGTTTCATATTTGTAGATCATACCAAAAGAGCAAGCTGTCGCCAGTGCAAATGCAGATAAACAGGACTGTGCCTGTGATGGGTCACCTCAAGACACAGGTCAACCAAACTGACCACCACCCCCAGGCCACCAAATGAAAGTTCTATGCTTGTCTGCCCCCATCTGGACTTCTGGACAGAATCTTCTACCTAAACCCCTTTACCAGGGTTCCCTGAGATAAGGCACCAAATGAAGGGGGTGATTTTACCCCCCAAGAAATAGACCAAAAATTCATCCCATGCCTTATCCACTGAAAGTTGTGACAATTGCTATGAGAAGGCAAAACCACCAATTGGGCCCAATTTGTCTGCATGCAAATTCCTTCCTGGTCCTGAAAACAGTGACCGATTATCTCCACAGCAAGGTCCTCCATACACATTGCCCATTTACCTCAAAGGCAATGCCAATTTTTAGGTGGGTGGGATGATCAGCTCCCAACTATGTTGCTGGCTCCCAGTGCAGATGGCTTAAATACTCCAGGGGAGGACTGGAGTGAACCCTCAGTATCTATCTCTGCTGCTGAAGCCCCACTCCACTATCAGGTCACTATTGGCCAATTTATATTTTAAAAATTGACAGGCGTTCCCATCATCCCCTCTGGTCAGTTGAAGAAAACAATTGGCCATGAAGGACAAAGGACCTGCCCCATCCACGTCCCCCAAGGGGTTGCACTGGGCCACAATCATAGGCCGTATCAACATAGGACAGCTGACTGTCAACTACACTACAAGTGGTCAGCTGATCCACAGCACTTCATCTACTAGGATGACACACCAGCTGAAACAATGGAACAGCGTGTTGCATTAGCTAGTTCTCTCCTTTTTATCTGTCAAACTGTTGTGTAGGAAAGGCATTCAAAAGGTGAAGGTTTCCACAGCTCAGTCAACAAAGTCATTCTTTGAGAACACTATGTATGCATTCAGAAACTCCGCCAACCAGTGCCACAGTCAAGTTCAGTGTGGAATATTTGTAAGCCACTCACCCTAACCAGGAGCCATCAGCTTTCTGCATATTACGACAAAACTGCAAAGCCTTACTTAGAGTATCACTGGGAAGAAAAACAAAGGAGTCTTCTTACATTTCAAGCTAACCAGGTTCTGGATAAGACAATCATTAAGGCAAGCTCTGTGTAACAATGGCATTCAATGGCCTAAAGAAGCCTTCCACTTTTTCAGAACTTGGACCCACCTAAAACATTCATTTAGTGGCCCACTTCTTAATGTTTTAACAACGTTAGTGTTGCTATTGTGACCCACCTTAGAGCAGGCTGTGATCCAGTAGTGGTCCTACCAGCCTCCCAGGTGATGGCTAATTAAGATCAAGAGTGTTCCTCATCGGTCTTTGTTTAAACCACCAGCAACAACTTTACATACTGTATCACTTCTATGTTGGAAATAACATGTATGCTGTAAGTTACATATACATAAACATTTTCGGAGGAGTAGCTGTGCTGGTTTGCTGCAGCAAAAACAACTAAGAGTCTTGTGCCACCTTAAAGCCTAACACATTTTATTGTGGCAAAAGTTTTTATGGACTGGAGTCCACTTCAGATGTACCGTGTGATCATTAGTTGACAGGGATGTAAGCAGATGGAGGTATATGTATATATTTTAAATAATGACTGGAGTTGCAATCAAATACCAAAAAATAAAAATAAAAAAATCAGTCTTTGCAATTCCTGAGCTCTTAACATGGAATATTCTATTAGAATACAGAATTCAAGACTATAGAATATGAATTCATGCTGTAACAATAATATCCTTCTCAGCTTCTGGGGATTTCCCCCCATACCTTTACCTGATTTCATCTTCCCGGTGATTTGGGAATCTTTTCCCAAAATGTTTCAATCCCTGCATTATGGATGAAGTACATTCTGTATAGGTGTAGTCGACCATACAGTCAGCTGAAAATCATAAAGTGAAGTATTTTACTTTATGTTTCAAGGTGGCTTACAGATTTATAAAATGCTAGCATCCCCGAAAATATCCTTTAAAAGGGAGCCAAAACCTAGCAGTTTAAACAGCAGGAGGGGGAAAAAACCTCTATAAAAACAACAGTCAAAATGTCAGCCCTTTGCCCACCAAAAGCTTATCAGGAAAACCGGCCATGCATTTTGTGCAGAGGACTATCAGGGAGATCCTTCTTTGTCTAGATCAGGGGTGGGCAACCTGCATCCAGAGGGTCACATACAGGCCTCAGTCTATTTTTAGAAGCGCAGGAAGAGCCCAAAGGGAGAGGAAGATGGTGGTGGAGGTGAAACAGATGGGGTGATGTGAGAGGAAATCCCTTTGCAAGCAAACAGTTGAGAACCCTGCAAGAATATTTCCTGTTAGGATATTTCCGTTCCACCTTAAAAGGGAGCAGGCTTTGAGAGTCACAGAGTCTGCGCATGTCCTAGTCACAGGATGTTTATGTTTGCTGTTTCCTTTCGATTTCAGTTGGTCGAGGCACTGACACAGAACGGTCATGTTTTCTTTTGTTCTGTTCAACGCTAAATAAAGTCTGTAAAATATGCTCTTCTGCGGTGCAGCTTTCTGCCTGTGTTTCTGCTGATAAAGAACAGTGTGCACAAGCTCTGGAATGTGGCAATCTATTTCCAGAACGGCTTCGTGTCGCTAACTGCTGGATCTGCCTGTCTACGGGGAGATCGATGGACGTCCGGGAGCCGGCTTGGGGCCATGATGGACAATATCTCCCTGGCAGTTTCCCAACAACAAGGTTTCGGGCCCAGATTCACAGCACCTACAGGAGAGTAAAGCTGCAACAGACTGCATAAGAGAGGTATGTTGTGGGAAAAGCGAAAGAAAGAGAGGCTTTTCTGTTTTTTACCTCAGACGGAGCCTTTGAACTCTGGCAGATTAATTGGCCTGGGAGCCGAGCCAGAGAGTTCGTGATTAATGGCTGCCAAGATAAGGAGTCTCTGAAGTTAAAAAAGACTCACAGCTAAAGCAAAAAGGCTGGAAATGGAGTTTTTCCAAGCTTATGGAGATGCTGACTGTCCACCTAAGTTACATGGGCAGAATTATGAAACCTGGGCAAAATGGTGTGAGAGCTTGTTGCGTCAGTTTCGGGTGTGGCATACTGTGAGTGAGGCCCCCCCAGTTCCTCTGACAGAGAGATGGAAAGCCGATGATTCGAAGGCGATAGACGTAATAGTCTTATCCGTATCTCTTGAGGAAATTAAGATGCTGGCTGGCAACACCACTGCACGTGGAATGTGGAATGCTTTGATGAAAGCTCATTTGCCAGTCATCCCAGCCCAGAGTTTGACAGCATCGGAGGTCCTGGCTGTTTCCCAGAATGCGAGTGAATGCAGGGATGCTGAGGGCACCGGTTGCAAGCTGCAGGGGGAGCTGACCGTCACGTCATCCCAGGCAGCATTCCAGCCTCCAGGGGGAGCCGAGGAGTCGGCAGCTGAGAGCTTTGTTTCTCATGGGAACCAAGGTCATCGCCTTTGCAGAGGCCGGAAAGGCAAAGGTAAACAGGCGTCTGCAGATGGCCAGAAGCAGAGGGAGGGTGAAGAGCCCGCGCCAGGGAAAAACAAAGCGATGTTTGCTGGCACAGCTTCACCAAAGGCTAAAGGCACGTCTGCTGACCAGAAGCAGGGGGGCAAGCTGCAAAAGCCCACGCCAGTGGAAGACAAGGCTATGTTTGCTGGCACAGCTTCACCAAAGGCTAAAGGCACGTCTGCTGGCCAGGAGCAGGGGGGCAAGCTGCAAAAGCCCACACCAGTGGAAAACAAGGGTTTGCTTGCTGTAAAGACTGCTCCAACAGCCAAAGGCAGATTTATTGTTGATTCAGGTGCAAACCGCCACATCTCGAAGGATCGGCACCTCTTTATCTCCTTCAAGCCTCAGGAAGGTGAGATCCACCCGGCTGATGGAAGGACGTTGCAAATTGCAGGAGAAGGGACTGTGAAACTTGCAAGTTTGCACACAACCATCAGCGGTGTACTATATGTTCCAGGCACTGCAAGCAATTTGCTGAGCGTCCCGCAGCTTACTGGGCGTGGTTTTCAGATTTCCTTCAAGAGGAGCGTCTGTATCATCAGTAAAGGCAAAGAGGACTATTTGCATGCAAAGTTTATGGATGGTTTGTTCCATATAACTTATGAGGACACTGCTGTTGTATCTAATGCTGATTCTTGTTGTGTTGCACAAACTAACAAAGTTCTTCATGCAGGTTGCATTCACGATGCGCATCGAAGGTTTGGTCACCTCTCTTGGAAGGCAATGGCCAAGATGCCAGAGGTGGTTGAGGGTTTGAACATCAAACCCTGTAAATTTCACATGAAATGTGTATCTTGTGCAGAGAACAAGGTGAAGGTTGCTCCAAAAGGCAAGGAGTCTAGCAGGCAGGCTTCCAAACCCTACCAGCTAGTGCATGCGGACCTGGTTGGGCCACTTACGCCCTCTTTAGGGGGAGCAAAGTACTTCATGGTTCTGATTGATTCTTTTTCTAGGTACATTCATGTGTTTTTGCTCGAACAGAAATCGCAAGTGTTTCCGAAGTTTAAGGCATTCTGTGCTTGGTTGGAGAATGTGCACGGTAAACGTATTTCCTGTCTGTTTTCTGATCGAGGCGGGGAGTTCACTTCTCAGCAGTTTGAAGCTTTCCTGACTGAGAAGGGAATCCAGCATGACATGTCAACCCCCAGATCGCCATGGATGAATGGGCTTGCGGAGAGAGCAAATCAGACATTGCTGCAAGGAATGAAAACCTTGTTGCATGATGCCAATCTCCCTGATAAGTTTTGGGGGGAAGCTTTGGGGAATTTGGTTTATACCGTTAATCGGAGATTGTCATCACCCATTGGCTGTACCCCCTATGAGAAGATGTTTGGCAAGAAACCCAACACCAAACACATGAAAATTTTTGGTTCTGACATGTGGGTACGCACCCCACAAACCAACAAGCTTGGGAAGCGTGGGGCACATGGTTTGTTCATGGGGTACGAAAAAGGTGCATACAGGGTATGGATGACTAACTCTAAGTCCATTAAGTTCACAAGGAGTGTTGAGTACAATCCTAAGTGGGGGGAAAATGTGGGAATTTTCCAGAGTTACCCAGAGGAGGATGAAGGTGATGTCAAGCAAGCAGCTAAAGCTGAGGAAGCTGCTGAGGATGGTGATGATGATGAGGATGATGATGATGGTGATCAGAGTTCAGATTCCAGTTCAGTGGGCGGCGCTGCTGCTGGTGTCAGTGACAGTGATGACACAGCAGACTACCAGAGCGCAAAGGCCTCAGTCAGACCATCTGATGCGTCTGACAATGAACTGGAGGAACCACTGTTCACCATTGGTCATTTTTCTCCTAAGAAAGAGGAGATGAGTCCAGAAGACTTGCGTCTAGTACGCAGATCTGAAAGGGCGACCAAAGGCAGACCTCCAAAGAGGTATGCTGATGAGTTTGCCAAGACAGCAACTGCTGTTCTTAGTAGCTCAGAGAAGGTGTGGGAACCTTCAAGCTTCAAAGAGGTTCAGGAGTTAACCTCTAAAGATGCTGAGCCTTGGCTTAATGCCATGAAGGCTGAAGTGGATTCCTTGAACAGGAACCAAACTTGGGAACTGGTACCGGTAGTCCCAGGAATGAGACTGGTTGGCAGCAAATGGGTCTTCAAGGCTAAGACAGACCAGAATGGCAAGATAGTCAGACACAAAGCCAGATTGGTTGCCAGAGGTTTTTCACAGGTACCAGGACAGGATTACCACGAGACCTACTCACCCACAGTCAAATATGAGAGCATTCGGCTGATGCTCAAGGTCGCTGCGGAGGAGAAACTGCATGTTTCCCACCACGACATTAATACAGCTTTTTTGTACGGGATTTTGAACGAAGAGCTGTTCATGCTTCCACCAGATGGGATGGAGGTACAGAAGGGTATGGTCTGTAAACTGCGGAAATCCTTATATGGTCTCAAGCAGAGTGCCAGGTGTTGGAACACAAAACTCACTGAGACATTGCTTTCTCTAGGTTTTCACCAGGGCAAAGCTGATCCATGTGTGTTTGTCAAGGAGGAGGGGCAAAACAAACTGTATTGTTTATGTTTTGTTGATGATCTTCTGATGTTTTGGAAGAATCAGGCTTTCTACCAAAGCACCCTAGCTCAACTGAAGGAGCACTTTGACATGAAGGATCTTGGTGAGGTATCCAACTATCTTTCTCTGCAGGTGGAGAAGGACCAAGCAGGTAATTTTCTGGTACATCAAACACAGAAAATTGCTGATGTATTAACCAGGTTGAATTTGGTTGATGCAAACCCAGCAGACACACCGATGGTGACAGGTTACCAGGTAGACAGTACTGCTGAAGCGTTTTCTGACACAACGCTATACAGATGCGTTCTAGGCAAACTGAATTTCATGTTCAAGACCTGACATAGCTGTAAGCTGTAATCTGCTTAGCAGACATGCCAACAATCCTACGGTTCAGGATTGGAAAGCTCTGAAGCGCATAGCCCGCTATTTGAAAGGGACTATGCACTACAGGCTGAGGTTCACCAGTCAGAAGACTGGAGGTCTTGAAATCTTTGCAGATGCAAGTTTTGGAAGTGACACCACAGATGGTACAAGCACTTCTGGAGTGTGCTACATGTACAACCACTGCCTGTTTGACTGGTTGTGCAAGAAGCAAACAACAGTGAGCCTAAGTTCCTGTGAAGCAGAACTCAATGCTCTGTCATTTTCACTCATGGATTGTGAATGGTTGATGCAACTGTTTAAGGACATCGGGGTTTCTGTGAAATGTCCTATACAAGTGTATCAAGACAATAGATCGTGTTTGGCTTTGCTGAACTCGGAGAGTTGCAAGCAGAGAACCAAGTACTTGCAGATTAAGCTACATCGTGCAAGAGAGTGTATTCAGAAAAGACTGATTCAAGTGTCCTACATGGCAGGAAATGAAATTCCTGCTGATCTGTTGTCTAAGGTTGTTAACAGAGAACAACATAAGGTTTATGTACAAAGGTTGCATTTGAGTGAACCACAGGTACAACAGGTTACACGGAAAGGGGGAGGATGTTAGGATATTTCCGTTCCACCTTAAAAGGGAGCAGGCTTTGAGAGTCACAGAGTCTGCGCATGTCCTAGTCACAGGATGTTTATGTTTGCTGTTTCCTTTCGATTTCAGTTGGTCGAGGCACTGACACAGAACGGTCATGTTTTCTTTTGTTCTGTTCAACGCTAAATAAAGTCTGTAAAATATGCTCTTCTGCGGCGCAGCTTTCTGCCTGTGTTTCTGCTGATAAAGAACAGTGTGCACAAGCTCTGGAATGTGGCAATCTATTTCCAGAACGGCTTCGTGTCGCTAACTGCTGGATCTGCCTGTCTACGGGGAGATCGATGGACGTCCGGGAGCCGGCTTGGGGCCATGATGGACAATATCTCCCTGGCAGTTTCCCAACAGGGCACAGAGCAAAAGAGAGAGAGGAAGAGAAGAGGGTGTGGCAAAAGGAGGGAGAGATGGCTCTGGCCACGCTCCCTGCTGGCATGCAGTTCACAGCAGAATGCCCTCAAGGGAAAGTGCCCCCTCCCTGAAGGCTGTGAGGTGGTGGGGTCATCCTGGGAGAGGTGGCTTCAGAGTTTTGACAGTCAGACGATGTGTGATGTGAGGAGACCATTGATTTCTAGCTGACTTTGTGTACCTGTTTATCATTTTGGTTCCATGGTCAGAGCCACATGGACTGTCCGTATCACGCCATCTTTGTTCTGCCTGTTCCAGAAACCAACCACCAGCCTGCCTTAGAACATCTCCCCTATCAGCACCTACAGTGGACTCTGACAACGTGAACAATTGCCAAGGTCCTATGGCCAAAACAAACTGCCGTCAAACATATGACTTCAGTTCATGGTCTCTATCCCCAAAACTATGAAATTGTAAAGAGGACCAGAATTCACAAAAGATTCCCATTTAAGTTGTTCTGATACCAAGGCTGTGTTCTTACTATACATCTCTGTGCAGTTCATTATCTCCAGTAGCCTACTCCCTCGTCTGGTTTCATAAGAAGCAAAACCACCATCAGAATTTCGCATGCTCAGAATCTGCAAAAAAGTACAAGTGGGATGGGGGCGGGGTGGGGAGAGGGTTTAAGAACAGGCATGGTGTTCCTTGTCCTACTTGCAGAGGAACATGGCTGGTCGCTCCTGTCCAGCCCCACCAGCCACTCCTGTGCCCCTTCCTCACTTGCCTTTTTTATAAACTAAAAAACCCCAAATGTTATGGAGGAGATCCTCCAAATTCTTCATCATTTTAGTTGCCCCTTTCTATGCAAGAATTCCCATGATTCATGTGGCCATTTTCTGTTTTTCAAGTCTGGATAGATTCCTGCTGTTTCAGACTTTGCCACAAGCACCAAATGCAATTCAGGCGCCACTCCACCCGGCTACAATGGTGTGTAAAATCAGAGTCTGTGCTCTTGACAAACCAATCTCTTTATTTTAAGTGGAACTAAAGAAAAGGAGAGTGGCTCGCCGTACATATGTAGTCGTGCCAGTTGGCCCTCTCTCACCATATTAGGCCAATGGAGAACTCAGTGGATGGAGAGATTCTGTTGTTCTAGCAAACCCTAGAAAGTGTCATTGCTCCTCATGACTATGATGAGGATTCCAGGACAAAATTTGCTAATTTGCACTGTATCTCCAAATTACTACTGTAGGGACAGAGATTAACAGATTATGTATTAGACTTCAAATTGTAAGTAAACTGTAATGATGCAATTTCCAACCAGCTTACTGGGGGAGATTGCTCTCAGTCCTGCTACCTTACAACCCTTTACCTGAGCTTAAGGAACTCAAATTTCAAGACTGATCATCCTTCACAGAGGATACAATGCTGCCATAGTGACACTTCCACCAATTCTCTTAGCCTACGGTCCCACAAAGCCAATATTCTCCTCAGCACTATTACTGAATGCTAGATGACTTCAGTCTTCCCACAATAGCTTCCTCCTGCCTGCTTCCCATTTTCTCTTCTGAGCTTTCCCCCTTCTCACCACATTGACAGCATCAAAGAGGCGCTGAGGTGCCACATGATCTTCTATGAAGGGGCATTTTTCCTCCAGTAGCATCAATGTCCTCATGGCCTCAGCAGTGCAGTCACTGACTATCCAGTCATTCTCTCGATTGCTGAAGGGGAATCCACCCTGGATATTGAAGAAAATACATTAGGACTCCTTGGGCAGCCATCAGTGTAGAATAATCTCCTCCCAAAAAGATCCCAATAAAGCAACCAGGAATTTGACAGGTGATCCACATTTCTCTTTCAGGATACTAGACTAGATGGGTCCTGGACTAAACCAGCAGGCTCCTTGGGTTCTCAGAATTAACACTTAAAGACTCTTTTTTTTTTTTTGCTGGCTATGTGTCACACAGACAGGACACAATTCTGGATGTACCTTGTTCATCTGGCGATAATATCTCTGGTAGTTAGGTGGGTTATCTACAATCTGAAAAACAGATTAGCAGCATATTAATAAAAGACAATCAGAATATATTTATAACCAGAGAAAGCCAGTGTGGCATAACAGTTTGAGTGTTGGACCTGAGAGACCAGGATGCCAATCCCTACTTCCTCTCAGCCGAAAATTCCTCACAGCGTTGTTGTGCAGATTCAGTAAGGAGGAAGAAAACCATGTATGCCACCTTAAGCTCCTTGGAGAAGAAGATGGGCTATGCAATAATTAACAAACAATAGAAAAGAATAACTAAATTAACTCAGTCAGAAATATGTTCTGTAATTTAGAAGACAGAATATGGCTACAACCTGATGCAATGGCAGCACATAGGGTTGTGTCCGGTGCTAACGCTACTCAAAGCAAACTCACTGAAATTTATGAACTCAAATTGGGCAGGTTTATTAACCTGAATTGGTTTGCTCTGAATAGGATTCATACTGCGTACAACCCATAGTGTCAGTTGAGGTAAATTACAGTGGATATACAAGGTTTTACACAGGACTGAAGCCACACTATAGAACCGAATTGATATTACTTGTCAATGTTACTTTGCAAAAAGAGACAAGCGTTTCCCTCCTGATTCTTTGGCTGAGACAGCTGAAAGCAGTATTGATTCCCTGTGTATGTTATTCCAAGGATCAGTGCTTTACCTGAGAGGCTTTCAAGAATTCATGGGCTTTTTTCAGACAGGATGCATAGTCAGGATTGTTCTGAACCCCAGCCTAGAAAAAGACAGAAGTTATTATTAAGGATTCTGACCCAGGAAAGTCACAGAGAAAATCTCAGACACTTACACAAAATCATCACTTTGGACAGCCACAAAAATAAATGCAAGTTCTTCAGGGATAACTTCAGTGTTACAAAAGGAATACGCAGTGTGTGGATTTCTGGACCTCATGTCCTAAGAATCACCTGGAGAACATGCCTTTCTTTTCTCACCTTCTCACCCCTTGCTTTTTCCTGTAAGACCTATTGCAGTCGTTAAGAGTCGTCAACAGGCTCATCTCAGCTATCTGCCAATCACCCATTCCCACCACCCTTCTGAGTAATACCCCTCCCCACCTTCTCACTATATAGAAGGATCTGGCAACTTCTGTTTCAGTGTATCTGAAGAAGTGTGCTTGCACACGAAAGCTCATACCAAAAACTAACTTAGTTGGTCTTTAAGGTGCTACTGGAAGGAATTTTTTTGTTATGCCTTTCTTTTTTTTTTTTAAAGTAATTTTTATTGCATTTTTTCCAATCACAGACAGAAGAAAAAGAAGAAAAACAGAAAAAAAAGAAAAGACACAAAAAGAAGATAAAAAGAATCATAACCTTTCAACAGCTTATTTCAACTTTCTATCGAACTTCCCCACATCTCCCGCACAATGCATTCTTGACAATAAATTTATCAGCAAATTATAACCTTGTTTCATGTGTTTCTTTTGTACTTTCAATTGCAGTTTAAGTTTAAATCCCTTATTATCCATTTACTCTGAAAACAAAACATATTATCATTTTTAACATTTAAACTTTGATTCTTTCAATAATATTATCCAATTTCATAAATATTGCACTCTCATTGCTGGGGCTAACATTTCAGGTTATGCGTCATTTTATAGTTCATATAACTTATAAATTTTTTGCAAATAGTCCTTGAATTTTTTCCAATCCTCCTCCATTGCTTCTTCTCCCAGGTCTCGGATTCTGGCGGTCATCTCGGCCAACTCCATGTAGTCAATCAGTTGCGTTTGCCACTCTTCCAGTGTGGGCAAATCTCGAGTCTTCCAATATTTGGCAATAAGAATTCTTGCTGCTGTGGTAGCATACATAAAAAACGTTCTATCCTTCTTTAACACCTTTTGGCCCATAATGCCCAAGAGGAAGGCCTCCGGTTTCTTAGGAAAGGTGTACTTAAACACCTTTTTTTAACTCGTTATAAATCATTTCCCAGAAGGCCTTCACTCTTGGACAGGTCCACCAAAGGTGAAAGAATGTTCCTTCAGCCTCCTTGCACTTCCAACATTTGTTGTCAGACAAATGGTATATCTTAGCAAGCTTGACTGGGGTCATGTACCACCTGTATATCATTTTCATAATGTTTTCTTTCAAGGCATTACATGCCGTAAATTTCATACCGGTGGTCCATAACCTTTCCCAGTCTTCAAACATGATATTGTAACCAATGTCTTGAGCCCACTTTATCATGGCTGATTTAACTGTCTCATCCTGTGTATTCCATTTAAGCAGCAAGTTATACATTCTCGATAATACCTTGGTCTTTGGTTCTAACAACTCTGTCTCAAGTTTCGATTTTTCCACCTGGAATCCTGTTTTTTTGTCCAACTTAACAACCTCATTAATTTGGGCATAGTGAAACCAATCTTGCACCTTATCCTTTAGTTTTTCAAAGCTCTGCAACCTCCAATTGTCACCAATTTTTTCTATTAATTCCCAATATTTCGGCCAGCCGGCCTCCATATTGGGTTTTTTCCACGCCTTAGCCTCCACTGGTGATAGCCACCTCGGAGTCTTACTTTCAAGTAAGTCTTTGTATTTCATCCAGACCATAAAAATTGCTTTCCTGACAATATGGTTTTTGAACATTCCATGTGTTTTTGCCTTGCCGTACCACAGATACGCATGCCATCCTAACGAGTTGTTAAAACCTTCCAGGTCTAGGACATCTGTATTCTCTAATAAGATCCAGTCTTTCAACCAGCAGAAGGCTGCCGCCTCATAGTATAACCTTAAGTCTGGCAGGGCAAACCCCCCCTCTTTCTTTTGCATCAGTTAGTATTTTAAACTTTATTCGGGGCTTTTTGCCCTGCCAGACAAACTTTGAAATGTCCCTCTGCCACTTTCCAAAACATTCCACTCTGTCCACGACCTGCAAGGTTTGAAATAAAAACAACATTTTTGGCAAAACATTCATCTTAACAGCAGCAATTCGGCCCAGCAAGGAAAGCTTCAATCTCGACCAAGTTTCCAAATTTTTCTTAACTTCTGACCAACATTTCTCATAATTGTCCTTAAACAAATTCAAATTTTTAGGCGTCAAGTTTACCCCCAGGTATTTCACTTTCTTAACCACAGTTAACTCTGTTTCCTTCTGAAACCCCTCTGTTTCTAAAGGCGTCAAGTTTTTCCCCAAAACTTTAGTTTTTTGTTTGTTCAACTTAAATCCTGCCACCCGACCAAATTCTTGTATCAGTTCCAAAACTCTTTTTGTACTAGATTCTGGCTCCTGTAGTGTTAAAACTAAGTCATCTGCAAATGCTTTCAGTTTATATTGTTTCACTCTGACCATGATCCCCTGTATTTGCCGGTCCCTCCTAATCATGTTCAGCAAAACCTCCAGGACTGATATAAATAATAGGGGGGATAGGGGGCACCCCTGGCGTGTTCTTTTTTCAATATGGAACTCCTCTGTCACCACATTGTTCACTATCAACTTAGCTTTTTGTTCTGAATAAATTGCTTCTATGCCATTTTCAAACCCCCGTCCCACTCCCATCCCTTCCAAGTTTTTCTTCATAAATTTCCAAGAAATATTGTCAAAGGCCTTCTCAGCATCAATAAAAATTAACACTGCTTTAGTGTTAATATTTGTTTGCAAAAGTTCCAGAATATCTATAATATTCCTAGTATTGTCAAACAAATGCCTACCAGGGAGAAAGCCTGCTTGGTCCTTATGAATTACTTCATTTAAAACCTTTTTCAGTCTGCTTGCCAAAATGTCTGCAAATATTTTATAATCCACATTTAGGAGTGAGATGGGACGGTAGTTCCTAAGTTGAGTCTTTTCAGTTTCCACTTTGGGTATCAATGTGATGAAGGCTTCTTTCCACGTTTCCGGTGCCCTTCCTCCCCCCATAATCTGATTACAAACCTCCATTAGTGGTTGAATCAAATAGTCTTTTAGTGTCTTATAGTACTTGGAGGTAAGCCCATCTGGGCCTGGAGATTTGCCCAGCTGCATATTCTGAATGGCATCCTCAATTTCCTGTTGTGTTATTTTACAGTTCAAGATTGATCTCTTCTCCTGAGATAATTCTGGTAAGCCGTTGAGTTTCAAAAATCGTTCCATCTCAGACACTTCCTCAGGCCCTTGTGTATACAGCTTTTTAAAGTATTTCTGGAAGCACTTTCTAATTTCACCTGGTTTCTGGATATTTTTCCCTTCCACCTCTAGATTGGTAACGTAGTTAAGTTTCTGTCTTTTTTTCAACTGCCATGCCAGCAGTTTCCCACATTTATTTGCTGACTCAAAGGATCTTTGTCTCATTTGTTTAATTTTCCATTCCACTTCTTGATTTATCAATTTCAAATATTGTGCCTGGTGGAATTTAATTTCTCGCAAGATCTCTTTAGATTTTGGTTTAGATCTCAATCTTTTCTCTCCATCTCTTATCTTCTCTAATATTTTATCCTTTTTCCCATTCCAGAGTTTTTTCTTAATTGTGTTTTGTTGTATCAGAAACCCCCTCATTACAGCTTTACTCGCGTCCCAGATTGTTCTTTTTTCCACTGAAGTGTTCAAGTTAATTTCAAAATAGTCCTTTAAAGTTTTTTGGGCCTTCTTTACAATCCCTTGATCTCTAAACAGGGTGTCATTCATTTTCCATCTGAAGGAGCCGGCTGGAGTAAGTCTCAATTCCATTTTCAGGGCGTTATGGTCGGAGCAAGTCTTTGGGCAGATTTCCACTCTTATAGTCTTTGGTGCCAGCCCTCTAGTTGTCCAAATTTGGTCAATTCTTGTCCATGACAAGTGGGCCTCAGAAAAGAAAGTTCCCTCTCTACCTAGGGGGTTCCTTGTCCGCCAAATGTCAATCAAATCCATATTGTCTGTCAGTTCAAAAAAAGTTTTCGGTAGTCTGCCATCCTTGGTTAAATTTTGGTTTTGTGACTTATCCATCAAGGTAGAGACCACCCCATTCATATCTCCCATCATAATGATGTTCGAATAGTCCAGATAGTCCAGTAATGTCTCATGTAGCTTCTTATAAAATTCTGATTTCCCCTCATTTGGTGCGTAAATTCCTAATATCAAAACTTTTTCTCCTTGAGATTGTATTTCAATTGCCAAGATTCTTCCTTGCTCATCTTTAAACAAAAGTTTCGGTGCTAGGTTCTCCTTTACGTAGATCACCAGGCCTCTCTTTTTTACTTTGTCTGATGAAATAAATTCTTGGCCTAGTCTTTTGTTGATTAGTACTTTCCTGTGGAGCCTAGTCACATGCGTTTCTTGCAAGCAAATTATATCCAAATGTTCCTTTTTCAAAATATGGAAAATCCTTTTTCGTTTTTCCGGGGAATTTGCCCCATTAATGTTCCAACTATAAAGCTGCAGAGACATCCTGTATCAATCTGTTGTTGCTCTTTATGGGGTGTCCTCCTTTTTGTCCAGATCCGAGGGAGATGGTGCTGGTTCTACTTCAGACTGTGGCGGAGGCCAAGGGACTGCTGTTCCCTTCTGAAGGTCCTCTCCGTGGTCGTGCAGGAACTTCTGGTTGTCCTCTTTTGTTTTAATTCTAACCTTCTTTCCTTTGTATTTGAACGATAGACCTTGTGGGAACTCCCACCTATAAGGTATCCCGTTACTTCTCAAAAGTCTTGCTAGGTCAGTATAAATAGATCTGAGATCCAGTAATTGTTTTGGTATATCCTTATAAATTTCCGCTCTTCTGTCCTGGATCTCAAGTGATTTATTAAAATGAAGGTCAAGTATTTTGTCTCTCTCCTGTTTGGTCCTTAGAATAATCAGACAGTCTCTGGGTCTGTCCTTCCTGGCAACACTTCCCAATCTAAATGCAGTTGTTATTTTAAAATCTTCGTCTTCCTTTATGCCCCAGAATTTGGAAAATTCTGCTGTCAAGTAACCAGTCAAATCTTCTTTCTCAAGCTCTGGGATAGAACGTAATCTTAAATTATTTTCCCGGTTTCTCAATTCCACCATAGACAGGTAGGCCTGCTGGTCGCCAATATGCTTGTGTAGTGGCCTTACCTCTCCTTTCAATTCATCCACTTTTTGAATTGCTTGGTCAGCTTTTTCGTTCGCAGCTTCGGCCAATTTCCGGTTCTCAGAGGTAACGTCTTTTAGATTCCCAATTGCTTGTGAGTGCTGTGCCACTTGTTCAGATAGCTTTGTGATAGAGGATGTGGCTAAGTCAATTTTTGCTGTTTGGTCGTCAACCTTCTTATTTAAGATTGCAAATTGTTGTAGCATTTCCTTCAGAAGTGTATCAGATCCACCTGCAGCCATATCCTCTGTTGATGGTTGTTCAGCTTCCTTTAGTTCAGCTGTTGTTGAAGATTCAATTCCCTTCAATTCATCTGTTGTTGGAGGTTCAATTCCCTTCAGTACAGCAGGAACTGATGATCTACGTGACTGAGAAGTCAAAGTTGTTTGCACAAGTTGGCCTTTTACTGCTTTCGCTTTTGCAGATCTTGTTTTCGGTTGGCCACTCATTCCCCACCTGTCTATGAGTCAAGGTCAAACTGTCAAATGTTCCATGGGAAGAACGGACCTCAATGTAGATAACAAGCAGCAGAGAGTCAAAACAAAGTTAGTTCCCAGGAAATTGTAAATCCCAATCTCCACTAGAGGGAGTACAGTTAGAGGGAGTACAATTAGAGTTCATGAGAGAAGGAAAAAAGTTTTGGTCGCCATTAAAGTTCCTGCAGCTAAATAGTTTAACAATAGTCCTTAGAACTTTTTTCCACTTGCAGAGCCCTTGCAAAGTTGCCACAAAAGTCACCTCCCAAGGTGCAGGATACAGTTACTTAGTTTTATATTCCAGAATTGCCTCTATGTATCTATTTCAGTTTTATAGATTGTATCCGCAAAAGGCATTCTTTTCCCCCGCCATCCCGAGGCTGGGTTTTAAACTTTAAGATCCACCAAAGGAGAAGGTTCCCAAATTGCTTCAACACAGTAAAGTAGATAAAAGAGAAAACTTGCCTTTCATTTCAATCACCAGTTCTGTCAGATGCATAATACTTCCAATTTTAAAATCCCTTTCTACAGCTTCCAGCCTGTCAGTTCCTTTGCCTTTGATCTGTAAGCCTTGCCGGAAGACGGACTTCCTTTTTTTTTCGTCTCCCGCTTTCAGCCAAATTTCTAAATTTGTAAATCCAAAGTAGAGTAGCTCTTACTCACGAGTAGATAATTTGGAGTCCAATGGTTAAGGAAGAAAGGTCGGCGCTCATCAGCAGCAGCCGCGTGGCTTCGCTCCCGCAGAAAGAGCGATGAACTCTCAGCACCGCTTCCCCTCCGCGCTTCCGGAACCCCTTACGGGGTCCCTTCTTCGTTTTGGGGGTCGCTCCAGGTGCCCGCCGAGTCCCACGGCCACGAGCTCACTCTGCTCGTGGTTTTTCTTAATGGATCGTCGCTGTGCCGTAGCGAACGATCCTTTTCTGCGGAGCCCCTCTTTAGAGACTAAAGAGGACCGCCATTGCCGTTTTGCGCCGCCTCCGGAAGTCTTGTTATGCCTTTCTTGGTTAACCATGACAGGCATAGAGGTCTTCGGATCTCGTAGTGTGTGTGCTTTGGTTAAATAATGAACACACACTATCTACATGCCAGTTCATTCATCTAAAATATATATATGTAAATGGAAATTATTGTGGCGAGAACAAAAGCAGAAGATTTGACAATATAAAATGATACCTCCAAGAAGCCTTGAATGGCAAATGATGTATCCCAGGTCTGTGATCCCATGACCTGATATAAAGAAAGGAAGAAGAGTTTTGTCCATTAGATCAGGGGTGGAGAACCACTGGCCTGGGAGCTGAAGGCAGTCCTCTCTAACCAGCCCTTTGGATGCTTCCCCAGTCATGTCCACTTCCCGGCCTACACCTTCCCCCACTGGCCTTGCTCTGCACACTCCTGAAGGGCTGGAACGTCTCGTGGAACTGTGATAAGGCCTCCTGCTTAACTGAGTGGAAGATGGGGAAAGATGTGGGTGGACTGGTGTGGAAGCCTCTGAAATTTGTGTGGTCAGAATTGTGTGGGAGTGGTGAACAATTGGTTTCCTCCCATTTTTATTTTATAATACGCTATTTTAAAAGAAAGCAAGAGCACTGGGAGTAAATCAGTAACTAAAGGGCTCTTCTGCACCTTCGCTTGGCCCTTGTTTTGATTGTATTGTGTACTGATCAATTCCTCTTGTTCTCTCAGTTAAGCAGCATGTGTTTTGGGATTCTTGGCACATCAGATAAGATCTGAATCAGCATTTTAAAAAGGTGCTACATGACCTGGTATTATCTTACATCTTATCTCCTAGCCCTAACCCTGGGGTGAAGCTACACTTTATGCAGGAGAGCCATGACTGGATCTCCTGATATTTTGATATTTTGATATTCACTTCAATGAAGCTGGTACTGTCAGGCAAGGAGAAGACAGCTGAGCTTCAGAGTCACCAAAGCAATGCAAATTGCAGCCCATAATATTTCCCAACTTATTGGTTCACACTATTGTACCTTTATTAGCATACCATCTTGTCCCATCCTGCAGAGATATAAAAAGCAGAGATTATAGCAGACACAAGACCATGTAGTTACCTATCTGCATTGCATAATAGGAGACCCAAATCATCCTGATATCTCTTCCATACAACACCATGAGTGAGGCATGGGTGTGCATGAGATCTGCCTATACTGCAAATAAGGATATGTTCACATCACTGGCTTAAAACGCAGCAAGGTCATTTTATCCCACTGCACTGCAAGCCGCATTTGCACAGGGTTGTTCAAATCAGATAGGGGGCAGAGATATCTTTATAGAGTGTGCATGCCCTTTCTGCCCCTCCCCCTGCAACCCCCTGGAACTCCTAGTGATGAAACTGCCATATGAGCATCTGTGGTCATCTGTGCACATATGACGGATGTCGCAGGTATACACACCATTCTGAAGTATGGTGTGAATGTGCTTTACGTTTTCTAGTCTGGTTGATCCTTTTTTGAGGAAAGATCAAGGTCTGCAAAACCACACTTATGCAAGACCATGTTCAGGACACTACAAAGATGGGAGGAATAAATATGCCAGCCTTACCAAAGGTAGTCATAGATCCTGGAGATATGTTCTTGAAAAGCTGGAGAATCGGCTCCATCAGCATGCCGTCTTATTAGCACATGAAATGCTTTACAAATCTACAGGACAAAAGAGATATTATTCCAGTTAGAAATTCTCCTCCACTATACCTCCATGCTTAGCACACTCATCTGCCACATGGCTATGTCTCTGCATGTCACCAGCCAAACACAGACACTCCTTCAAGTGGGCAGAACAAGATTGCCACAAGCATAGCTCTACCTTTGGAAGTATACTGGTTTCTGAGGGAAATCTTCCTCAGGAGAAGGAACATATGCTGCCATCAAAAGTAATTTGGTCCCGATACAATTATTTCTGAAAGACATTCACAAAGGACCTACCGGACTAGAATTGGTGGCATTTGAGAATATGTCATCAGCCTTGATTTGCTCATACATTTCTGCGATGGCTTTCTTTCTGAAACTGGTGAAATGGTATCTCTCATACAAATTTAAGGTAGCTGCAGAAGGAATAAGAGAGACACTATGAACATCGCAATCATGTTAATGTGGTTCTATCTTCCTCGTGTGTTTTGGGCTGCAATTTTCCATGCAATTACAATTTAGCAAACACAATTTAGGACAAACACAATTTAGCTTTCAAAAGTTAAATATTAAAAACAAAACAATCAATTTTTTAACACAGAGAAAAACCCCAAATGCCATGCCATGTGGTAACCCCCGCCCACACTTCCACGAACATTTTGCAGATCCCCTTCTCAAAAACTTTTCTACGATCATTTGTCCCAAACTACCCTGTAGACTGACAGGCAAAACCACAGTGATGATCACCACGAATGGTTCCAAGACAACAAAACCCATAATGCCATGGCATATGTCCACAGCATGGTTCAGGCCTCTTGCTCACAAAGCAAGGCTCTTTCTTGTATTTGCTACAAAGGTTTGTATTGTGTTTGTTCTCAGAGCTGACTGTTTGCTTCCAGCTAACAAGCTGTGATAATATGAAACCTGGAAGGGGTTGTATGTTTCCATGGATATATGTCTGGGCCAAGGACATGCACGTCTTATTGCTCAGACCAACAGAAGTCTCTTCCTCTCTTTCTCTGTGCCAAGTAAACCCTAGAAAACCTACGCTGAAGACCTGAACTCCTGGAATAAGACTTGCCAATTCCAAAATCACTCACCAAAAGCAGCATCCAGCATCCAGCTGTGTGCAGCTTGCAAATCGGCTTCGTAAATATTGTTCCTCTGGGCTGGCCAATCAATGGTGGAGAAGTCCTCTACATAAATCTCCTAGAAGGAAACCATGAAGTGAAATGACTTTCATAGTAAAGAAGAAGCAGGATATTAGTGTACTTGACAACTGTCATTTCAGAGCTTTAAAAAATCCAGAAAATTCATGTTAGTGTGGCAAAATCTGCTCTGTACCCACATAACGCAATGCTTTGTGCTAGGAAGGGAGACCACCCCTCCCTGTGTTATGGCATCAGCTTTCATGGTCCTCCTCATCACCATTTTGATACTTATATGTTATAATAAATAATATATTAATGAATTAATTAATTAAATATTAGAGGAGGAAACTCCATAGATTAATGGTTCAACAGTTCTTCATTGATTTGTTTTTCAGTAGTTCTGAAGAGGGGAGGAGAAAACACCTTTTACCACCCAAAAAGAAAGGGAGAAAGAAAGAAAAAGATGCATCAAAAAGGGGGAGTCTGGTATTACGGTACTGCGATAGAGAAGGCAACATGGGTGTTGTCTGTCAGTTTTTAGGAGAAGAGGCAAAGGTCTGAAGCAATTCTCTGTGGAGCACGAAGCACAGAGCCATTAAAATAAATGTAAACAAAAACATGGTAGGAGAGAGACTTACATGATTTGGCAGGGTGATGCCCTGGGCACCATCTCCACTTCATATTCCACCCTCCCAAAGTTGCCCTCCCCTATGGAATAGGGATGGCCAAGTGGCATGTTTCCATGCCCCCGCCTCTCTCCAAAATAAATATTCTCATGGCATTTTGAAACACCGATGCTCTGAGCTCGACTTCTGCCTTAAATGGAAAAAGGACACCCAGCTCAGCCTTCTCCCTGTCAGATACAAGCAAGCAATCCCCCAAGTGCAGATCCAAGGGAGTATGAGGGTCCCACTTTGACCAAGGATGGTGGGATGTTTGGAGAATGTTGCCTTGCCTCTCTTAGACTCTGGATCAATTCATCTTCTTCTACAGTCAGGCGAGTGGCATAGCAGTAGCCCATCGCGAGGGTGACATGGCGAGCGTGACACCAGTATGTCGAGGGATGTCCCGGCAGCCATGTAGGAAACAGCCTATTTCAGAAAGAAGGAAGAAACAGGTTCATGGAAGACAATGTCAGGAATCCTGGATGTAGTGGTAACACTAAAAGCAGGTTATATTGCCCTTCATCCAAGGATCACAGGGCAGTTTATGGTATAAAAAGACAAAAAAGCATAACATAATAACAAACAAAACAATCCACTATATTTTTTGTGCCTTATTTTGCTTTCCAGTATTGTCGTTTTTATCTTCATTTTATCATAGCTAGGGATCTCAAAAACTGGAAGCGGCCCGGGCCTCTTTGGACCTCTGAGAGTGCCTGCACTCTGAGCTTGGAAATGAAGTGTGGAGGGAACCAGTGCAGTATTGCCATGATGTGCACATTGGCATAATGTGCACCAAACATCTTTGTAGCTGTGTTTTGTAATCCCAAGCACATCAAAAAGGCAGAGAGATGGTTGCACATGAGCAAACTATTATATAGGTAGAATCTACACACATATAAAAAATGTTCTGAAAATGCTTTTAAAAAATACCTTGAATTTTCCATAAGGCTCACCATCGCCATCTTGTGTCACATTGTATATTGCTCTTAAAACACACTTAAAACGTTTTATTTGCAGCTGTATTGCTGAGTCCATAGTCTCTTATATATACAGATTGAAACCCTGTTATACCCTATTACCAAAAAAAAAAGTGATAGACAAGAATTCACTGGTCACAGAGACCAAATGGTCTCAGCATTTCTTTACACACGTAGTTCCTGAAACCTAGTATCTTCTGCAAGCTTCTGGTTACTTCTTTCTTAGAACCAGTGCTTCTTTTCTGGGGGTATGCAGGGGTGCACATACATCTAAACATTTTGTGAATCTAAGTTTGGCCTCATTGAGGGGCAGTATTTTAATATGAGTCAGAAAATGAGTACCCCTAAACAATTTGTTAGGGGGAAAAGCACTGCTTAAAGCAGTCCTAAAATCATTAAAAACATTTCCCAGGCCTATGGGCTGCAGTTTGAGCTCCAATTGCGGCTTGCAGTTTTTGCTCCTTAACATGCAGAATATGCCACATCCATGACATGTGTCTGCTCACCAATCAGGCAGAGGTATGGCAACCAGCCATACCTCACTCTGACTCATGAGTAGATGTTCTTCATCTGAGTAACCTCTACATGATATCCTGTGAGGAACAGGTTCTGTCACAAAGACACAAAGTAGTGAAGATTAATATGGATGTCTCCATTTCCAAGTCATTGCTATTTAGTGAAGGATCTGTCTACTGTGTAATACTATTGCAGCAGAGACCTTTCTCTGGCAATTCATGATCGGCAGGGTGGGTTGGGGATGAGTAAACTTTAGGACACATACCATAGCTCAGGAAACAGTGTATTCATTCCCTCCCAGCTGTACAAATTCATAGTAGCCAGCCAAACTTTGCCCAGTTGAGGGATTCCAAGAGCACCACCTGGAAAGAGAATTAACAAGTTTTTCATTTCCATAGACTGAAGGGGCAAAGTCAAAGAAACCTTCAGTGAAAACCGAGATATGTTTATAGCCTTGTGAGATTGAAAGCTCAACTTGTTTAGAGTTTAGTGATGCAGTGCCTCAGAATTCCACTAGAGTGCTGTGCCACAGCCTCCTTTTGATTGGTTGTGGGTACAGGTAGCCAGAGGGAGGTGGTGACAGCACTTGGCATAGGCAAGAGAAAAAAGCAGCTAAGGAATTGGCGTTCTGGCATTCAGCTGGATAGTTGTATAGCTCCTGAGCTGTGTGTTAAATCCACTCTGTAATCAGAAAAAAAGTCTCTGAACTTAGTTTGAGAGACAGTGATAAGTGTATTTTAAGAGTATATAGACAAGAGAAAACTGGGAAGCTGAATTGGGAACAGCAGATGTGAGAGGACATATTATTTGGATTCTCAATTCAGTAAGAAGGGGAGAGATCTTCTTGAAAGAGAAGAATCCCAAACCAGTCGGACGGGTGAGCTGATCCCCTGGTCTGTTATACTAGAGGAGCCTCATAAGTAAGATTTATAGAAGGTTGGGAAACTGACAGAAAGTACCACCCTGAATTACACCCATGAATTCATGGAGATCAGGCCGGTTTTTTACCAGGTGGATATATGAAAGATAATTTACGGAACATTATTGATGTGATTGAATATCTAGAAGTTAGAACTGATAAGCAAGCAGCTTTGATTTTTATTGATGCAGAGAAAGCTTTTGATAATATATCATGGACATATATGAAAAAAGTAATTGAAATAATGGATTTTGGACAGGTCTTTGCTAAGGGTATTGAGGCAATTTATTCTGAGCAACAGGCTAAATTAATAGTAAACAATACAGTTACAGTACTGAAAAATGTAATATAACAAAGGGAACAAGACAGGGGTGTCCATTGTCACCCCTGTTATTTATTCTGGTGTTAGAGACTTTGTTGAGAAAGATAAGAACAGATGAAGAAATCAAAGTCATCACAATTGGAACTAGGTCATGCAAACGTAAGGCATTTGCAGATGATTTAGTATTAACGGTAGAAAATCCTTTGGAATCGGTACCAAAAGTATTAGAGAAATTGAATGAATTTGGCCAAGTGGCAGGTTTTAAGTTAAATAAAGGAAAATCAAAAATGCTGGTTAAAAATATGACAGAACAAAATAAAAATGAACTTGAACAAATAACAGAATTAAAGATAAAAAAGTAAAATATTTAGGGGTCGGTTAACATCAAAAAAATATAAACTTATTTCAAGATAATTATGTAAAAGTGTGGAATGATATGTCGAGTAAATGTCAAGTACATGTTGGAAATGTAAAGATAAAGAAGGCACATTTTTCCATATGTGGTGCACCTGCAAATTAGCAAAAGCATATTGGGAAATTATATATAATGAATTAAAGAAAATGTTTAAAATAACTTTTATTTAAAAACTAGAGTCTTTTCTATTAGGTATAATAGGAGAAGAAATCCCAAAGGAGAAAAAGGTCTTATTTATGTATGCGACAACAGCAGTGAGAATGTTATATGCCCAGGGATGAAAGGAAGAAAGAACCTCATCAAAAGAAGAATGGATAACGAAATTAATGGACTATGCCGAAATGGCGAAATTGACTGGGAAGATCAGACACCAAGAGGACAAAATATTTTTTAAAGATGGACTAATTTTGTATAATATCTGAAGGAGCATTGTAAACACATAAAAACTTTAGCAGGCTTAGAATAGCACTGGTGATATAATTAGGGTAAATTTTGTAATAAGGGAAATGAATAAATTAGAGAAATATATAAAGATGCAGAAAAGATAAGTGGTAATGATGGGAAACTGGGGAGGAGGATGGGGGGAAGTCTGGGGGTTGAGAACCTCCAAAAGGTAGTGTTTTGTTCTGTTGATATGAATGTAAAATGTAAGCAACAAATTCTTAAAATAAAATATTAAAATATATATATAAAAAGATATTACCACCCTGTTTCAGAACCAAAGTATTACGTAAGTCCTAAGCTGTAACACCTAGGCAATTAGCTGAAGAAATTGAAGTGAAAATAAGCTGTTTTCCACCTTGTTTAGACGCCTGTAACAACGACTGAATTTAATATATTTATATATGTTAACTCAGTGTTTCCCAACCGGTGTTCCGCGGCACACTGGTGTGCCGCGAGATGTTGCCTGGAGGGAGGCGGGCGAGTCGGGCGGCGAGAGGCGGGGCAGCGGCGGCGAGGAGAGGCCGCCCAGCGCGGGGCTCTCACCGGCTGCCTGGCTGGCTGCCTGCGAGCTCGGCGGGCAGCGCCTCCGTCCGCAGCGCCCGCCTCGCGGCTCTCATTCCCTGCCCCTGCCAAAGCTCACCCAGCCAAGCCGCGCTCTCCTTCCTGCCTCGCTTTGCTGCCTCCCCCCCCCAAAGCTTGGAGGTTCCCCGGCGCCGACCCGCAGGTTTGACCCCCTTCTCACACCTGTTCGCGCTCCTTGCACGGAATGGGGCGGATGGGGAGGAACGGGGCTCGCCGCTGCCTCCGCTCGCCCTCCCCCCCTCCGCAGGCGGTCCCGCAATTCTTGGCTTTTTTGGCGGTTGGCACAGAAGGAAGGCAAGGGGGAGGGGAAAAAATTGAAACTTACACTTTCGTGCGTCCCTCCCGGCGTGACGCTGCGCGCTGACGTCACGGGGCTGTAATGGTGGAGTGCCTCGAGATTTTTTTCATGAAACAAGTGTGCCTTTGCCCAAAAAGGTTGGGAAACACTGTGTTAACTGCCCTGTCATACCCTCATTGCCTGGCTTGGCCACACTCCACACATTGGAGGGCAAGTCTAGCAGCAGCTGCACAGCTGTCAGCTACATTCAGTGTAGAGTTTCTGAGCCAAAGGGTCCCCTCTTCATTTCTATATTGGACAGAGTGAATGCCCTGATCATCCTGGAACCAAATGCTACTGGTTCTCAGACTGTATCCATGCAGAAGTAACTACAGTGGTACCTCGGGTTATATACGCTTCAGGTTACATGCGCTTCAGGTTACACACTCCGCTAACCCAGAAATAGTGCTTCAGGTTAAGAACTTTGCTTCAGGATGACAACAGAAATTGTGGTCCGGCGGCGCGGCGGCAGCAGGAGGCCCCATTAGCTAAAGTGGTGCTTCAGGTTAAGAACAGTTTCAGGTTAAGTACGGACCTCCCAAACAAATTAAGTACTTAACCCAAGGTACCACTGTACTGTCAGGAAAAAGCACCAATGCAAAAGCCAGCAGCAGGTGGCTGGAAAGCAAAACAGGATGTTGTTATCTGCCAATGTACTGTTGGAGAAAAGGGGGAGTCTTTTCTATGTACTGAGCACCGGATGTTAGCTCAGAGTGTCATCTGACCTGTACTGGAAGTGCAGGGGCGGAGTTGTGACTCTTCTGATGGAGTCTGATGGGTGCAGTCGCATTTCTATGTGCTGCTGAATGACAGGAATAAAACATGTAAAAAGGACCCCTGTCTGTCTCATTTCCCCTCCCTGGGGGGGAAGCTGGAAGAGAAAAGCAGAGGGTGTGTTCTTTCTCACGTCTAATGAGAAGAATCGCCGGATTATTACCTAGTCTGCCGGGGGTCGCAGACGGAAGGTAAACAAGAGTCTCACTCAGCTGCCTCGGGGGAGGCCAGGTACCTCTGACTGTGAGCTGAGATACTGACATGTACTTCATCTCCCACTGTGCCATTAAACCCTATGTATGAATGCTACTGCAATAAAAAGGCTATAACTCACCTCATTCTTTGTATTTATTAAATAATATTTTATCACTGCATTTGTGCTTTACGGAGTGGCACAAAAGGGCCCGTGTCCATACCCTCCCAAGAGTTCCCAATATAAATTTTGGAGGAGGAAAAAAACAGGAGGGAAGATATGACCAGCATCTTCTTTTGATCATAGAAATGGTGTCAATGTGCCAATCTATGGAGATTTCTAAAAGGACCCACAAAGGAAGGAAGGAAGGAAGGAAGGAAGGAAGGAAGGAAGGAAGGAAAAGAGACAGAATAGAGAGGTGCTCCCATATAACTGTACAACACCATGAGCCCCAGTTTTGCCTGGGTACTACACTCAAGCAAAATGGATTGATCCAGCCCTGCCAGAGAATTCTGCCTTACCTTTCTTATGGAGATTTATCCGAGCCCGCACTACATCTGGATGGTCAGGCCCAAGTCCAAGGATTCGCATAGCTATGTAGCTAAAGGTTGTGCCAAATACTGTTGACTGTTCTGTAAGATGGCTACCATAAAGAGAGATCAAAGAGCCATTAGAAAGTACACCAGAATGTTTGGATGTCTAAGAAGCTGTCATCATCAACCTTTTATTCGACCGTCAGTCAGAAAAAAGTACATTTGTCAATACACAGTTAAAACATCCAGGAAGATTTTAGAACTTAGCCAACACTAAAATGGGCTAAACAGATAGCCCCATATCAATACAGTCAATTATAGTCTTGCAACGCTTAAAAGCTAAAAAAAGAAATTTGGCCACCAAGGACGGTATAGCTCTAGTGACATTATTCAGCAAGTGTAAAACCTGGTTTTCTCCGGGCAGGAAGCTAAATTGACGTAGGAGTGGGTCTATAAAATTTTGTCTAAGCTCTGCATAAGAAGGGCAAGTCAAGAGTATGTGTTCGGTGGACTCAACCACACCCATGGCACAATGACAGGTTCTCTGGGCGTATGGTACTCCCCTGTACCTTCCCCACAATATCGCAGAGTCAAGGACATTTAATCTAGCTGCTGTAAGAAGTCTGCGGTATTCCACATAGTGGATTTCTGCAAGGTAGGGGGCTGGTATGGTCCGATAAATCTGGTCCCCTAGGAACATCCCCGACTTTACCTGGGCTATGTCCTCTTGTCTGGCAATGTCACTCAGTCTCCAGGAGATCACAGCTCTAGCTTGATTGTACGTCATAGACTCAAAGTAAAGGTGAGACAATCCGCAGGATTGAACCTCGTTAATGACCTCCCTTTCCCACGATGATTGGAAATCGTCCCTCAATATCAAGGGGGCAATACCCACTGGTTTAAAACAAAGCTTGAGCCATAGCCAGAGCTTCGTCTTCAAGGCCACATACCGTAGAGCTTGCCAGCCGACCTCTAATCTCATGACCGCACCCGCTACCGAGGGGGGAATCCTAAGGATGGTTCTAAGGAATCGCGTTTGGATAGAATCCAGTTTCAAAAAATCTCTACAGAGCCTAAAGAGATACCCACCAAAAGAAGGGGGAGGACTTTCATTTGAAAGAGTCTCAAAGCTATCTTCACTGATTGAGCCTGATTCTTAGCATATAGAGATCTAATCTGGATGGCTGCTTTAGATGCATTAGTTGTTATATAGTCTCTATGGGCCAGAAAAGACCTATTTGACCGTAATACTTGTCCCAGATATTTAAAGCAGTTAACCTGCTCTAGGGGGATCCTGTTCATCGACCATCGATGGAGTCTCGGTCAGGCAGAGAAGACCATGATCTTGGTCTTAGCATAGTTGGGTTGGAGCTCATGCTGATCACAGTATTCATGTAGAGCTTGCAACATTCTCCTCAGTCCAATAGGGGATCTGGCAAGAAGTGCGGCGTCATCCGCATACAGAAGAACATTCAGAGATCGGCCTGCTAATTTGGGGGGGTGGAAAGCGTCATTGGCCATGTGAGTCACCAGTGAGTTAATGTAAAAGTTAAACAATGCTGGGGCCAATAGGCAACCCTGTCTTACCCCTCTAGTGGTGGTAACAGGGTTAGAGACTAGGCCTTTATTGTCTAGCCTGATTCTCGGAAAGGTGTTTGTATGGAGGCTGATAATCAGATGAAGAAGCCGACGATCGATCTTTGTAGCAGCCAGTTTTGTCCATAGCTGCTTTCTACAGATTCGATCAAATGCCTGCTTAAGGTCAATAAGAAGCTGTTTGAATTGTTTAGTTTCCATTTTTCTGGTGCATTAACTTAAATTCAAAAACTTCTCTGAGAACTTGTCAGAATACAGTGGTACCTCGGGTTACATACACTTCAGGTTACATACGCTTCAGGTTACAGACTCCGCTATCCCAGAAATAGTGTTTCAGGTTAAGAACTTTGCTACAGGATAAGAACAGAAATTGTGCTCCGGTGGCGTGGCAGCAGTGGGAAGCCCCATTAGCTAAAGTGGTGCTTCAGGTCAAGAACAGTTTCAGGTTAAGAACGGACCTCCAGAACGAATTAAGTACTTAACCCAAGGTACCACTTTACTCCAAGTATATAGTGGTGCCTCGCAAGACGAAAAGAATCCGTTCTGTGATTCTCTTCGTCTAGCGGTTTTTTCGTCTTGCGAAGCAAGCCCATTGAAGGATTAGCGGATTAGCGCTATTAGTGGCTTTTAGCGGCTTATCTGCTGATTGGATCAGCTGATAAGCGGCTTAGCAGCTTAGAAAAAGGGGGGGAAGGAAAAAAAACCAGCAGGAACTCGCAAGACATTGTCGTCTTGCGAAGCAAGCCCATAGGAAATTCGTTTTGCGAAGCACCTCCAAAACGGAAAACTCTTTCGTCTAGCGAGTTTTCCGTCTTGCGAGGAATTCGTCTTGCGGGGCACCACTGTACCCAGTTAGCTAGCCATTAGCCGGGATACCACAGAATACCTACTTTTGTTTTCTATTTCCTTTTTTAAAAAAGTAATGCCTTAATGAAGGACATGTAGTGCTTTGAAATGTTTCTTTTCAGGAGACAGCATGGGCTTGAGAGCAGCTCATACAGCCAGAATACCAGTTGAAATTCCATTCCAGATAAATAAAGCTGATCTTGGTCAATGAGAATGTAGATTCTGAATTCAGATTCTGAATTTAGATTCAAAGCTGAGTCAAACCCCGAACCATTTTGTAGTTTGCTATTGGTTTGACAGGATACATTTGGATGGAGGCAACCTGGCCTCACCACACCATTATCAATTGTAATACTTCCTAGAGATGGTGCTTTTTAAAGGAAAGAGTGATGTCGGATATCATTGTGGTGATCACACAGGGTCCCCGGACGTTTCACCATCTATTGATCCCTGTGCCACCACTATATTTCCCGCTGCCACCACCCAGGCTCTACCTCGTACAACTCTGAGTCCAATCAGGGTTAAATTGGAACATAAACTTTTGTTTATTTATTGCAGTTTAACAAGCGTGTGGTTTAATAAACGGTATCAGTCAATTACAAACATGGGGTGCCTATCCAGACCTATAACTTCCACTACATGCTCTCGCTCACTAAACCACCTCTCAGATATTTACTTGTCTTCCTAGCCCCTAAGTATTCCTGACTCAGCTTATTTCGTTACACTAACTCAACCTACCCACAAACTCTAGCCCAATTCGCTCCCACTCTAACCAACCACCCAACTCCCAACAAACTCCTCCCTTCGCCCCTCCCAGAGCTGGTTTTATAGTCCCTCTGACTCCACCCCCCTGGGTCCTGATTGGGTAACCTGTTTAACTATTTCACCTCCAGCACTCTCTCATATGTTAACGTCACAATCATGTCTTCATTAGTGTTGCCTCTCTCCACCCCTCATGCCACAATTCTATTTTTCTCTGCCACAGCTGGGCAGCTTCAGTACATGCTGAGGCCAGCTGGCATTCTGGTCATCTGCCCTGCTGCCCAGTCCACATGGTGAGTATTGCTCACAGTCAAAAGACAGCAGAATGCAGAAGTGATTTAAAGAAGCCTTCATGGGGGAATTGCATCATGGACCAGCCCAAGACAAAGATATGCAGAATTAGAACATCACACCCTCCTTGGACTACTCACAAATTCCAGCCCCCATCTGGAAGCTGTTTTGAGAGGATGTAGCGCAGGAGCTCTCTCTCGGCCTCTTCTGGCAGTGAGATCTTGGCAGCATAGCATGACATCAAAAAACCTGTTTGATTTTTCAAAAAAGATAACAATGTATAATACTTGACTATCTCAATTTTGGTTTGATTTGTTTGGATACCACCTGATTGGATATCAAAATGTAATTTGTGCTTTTGTACCCCTGGTAGATGGGGTTTTTTTTTCCTATCTTGAAACAGAAAAAAAGGTCAAACATAACAAGATTTAATTATCTAGCAAGTTTAGGCAAAAGATCATCACTTCTGCCCCCTTTCTAGAAGGTGCATGATTTCATTCTGGACTATTCAATGTTGGATGCTGCTTACAGTGATTGCCTGGAGCTGTATGCACATCCCCTGTATGGTGAACCATTGAACAACAGGCAGCAGGATTCTCAGTGAATTTTCTTCAGACTGCTGGGGTCTTACCCAATCCTATCAGGTGATGCCAGAGGACAAGCCTAGGACCTTCTGCATGCAGGGACTGAACTGAATTCAGCTTCACTCACTTCATTTCAAAGTTTGGTTCACTTTTTCGCATCGGTTTGTGATTTTTATTTTTATTTTAGTTCTCATAAAAATTCACTATCCCAATATACAAATTTTTGCAAAGCTATTATTGTTGTTTCTGCTGTTGTTGTTACGCTAGTATATGCCATTCTGCACATTATGTGACTGGAGACCTGCACTACAAAATTCAGTGAATAGCAAATGTCAGTGGATGCCTGCATTTCAGTTCTCATGCTGTTTCTGAAAGGTGAGAGCTCTTTGTTCCTTTCATACTAAAGGCTTACAGGTCCATTATTCTAGATTATTCTGACTTCATTGGAAAGAGTGATAGCTTTTGCTTTGTTGCAGAAAATCCCAAGTTGGATCCTGGGCATAGACCTGGGGAAATCACAGAGGGTTGCTACCAGTTCAGTGTTGAGATAGATGTGCCAGTGGGATAAGGCAGCTTCCTATGTTATTATGATGAAGAGCTTTGTACAGGCAAAAGAAAGACAACTGATTTAAGCAGTTTCTCGAAATGTCCACCTATTTGTGCCTAGCCTATCTGGTAAAAAATAGATTTATAGAAAATATACAGGGAGGCCCGTTAATGTATTTGTGGTAAGTCTGTTAGCATTCCTATACCTGGTCCAAGAGCAACGACACCAGAGCACTCCATGGCCCAATGGCCATCTTCCACTTGCAGGCCAGAGAAGAATTTAATCGCTTTCTGGACTGCTTCCTGGGCCGTATGGGCTTTGGGCAAGTCTGGAAAGAACTTACTCTGTAAAACAAAATGGGGAAAATAAGAGAAATGTACAGAAATTAAAAAGGCTGGCTACAGTACAAAGTAGGCATAGTGTTAAATGTCCTGCTACATATACCGTATTTTTCGCCCCATAGGACGCACCGGCCCATAGGACGCATCAAGTTTTTTGGGGGGGAAATAAAGGGGGGGGAAAATTATTTTTCCCCCAGGCGCTTGTGGGGCCGGCAGCGGGGAGAAGCGCTCTTCTCCCCGCAGTCCACCTTCAGACCAGGTCCGGGGACAGAGGGGAGACGCGTCTCCCCGTTGTCCCCGGAGCTTGCAGGGCAAGCGGTGGGGTCTCCCTGCCGTCAGCCTCCAAACCACTTCGGGAGACAGCGGGATGGCGGCGTTCCGCCTCCCTCTGTCCCCCGACCTTGTGGGGCTGGCGCTGGGGCTCTCCTGAAGCCTGGAGAGCGAGAGGGGTCGGTGCGCACCGACCCCTCTCGTTCTCCAGGCTTCAGTGAAAGCCTGCATTCGCCCCATAGGACGCACCCACATTTCCCCTTCATTTTTGGAGGGGAAAAAGTGCGTCCTATAGGGCGAAAAATACGGTAATGCAACTGTTGGGTCATTTAAAAATAAATATAGCAGAGAAAGGTAGTCAGGATAGGGACCATGGCAGATGGGGAAGTGTCATTTAATACTTTCCCTCTCAGCAGTAGTCTCAATGAAATCCCCCCGCCCCTCGCCAGCTGCTATTTGTATGTGCCTGGAGACACCAGCAGGCGGGGAAAGGCAAAACTCCTTCCTTCCCACCCAACATAATCCCCATCCTGACTGGGTCCTCATGTAGTTGAACAACAGTCATGTTAAATACAAAAAGTTGTTTAATGTAATGGATGGTTTGCTCCTGAGAGACCATTCCAAATTAAAGTTTTACAACCACACCGCGATTCCGCAAGTGAAATCAACATCTGCAAACATCTCACAATGCTTCACATCAGTGGGAGATCACAGCTGTTCAGAAATCCAGGAGTTTTTCTCTAAACAAACTGCATAGAGAATGCATGTGCCTCAGTATTTTCACACACATAAAGTCCCTCATGCAAATGCATCATATGTGCATCATGGAAATGATTATCAGTATACTGGAGAATAATCATTGAGAGCAAGAAAGTGGCTTTCTAGAGAACATCTCTGAGCTCTTAGATCAGAGAACCATAGAATATAAGGGACCAGAAGATCACGTAGCCCAACTCCCTTTCCACAAGTAAGAACCCTACACTGACTCTGGCTTGCAGATGAACTCACTCAGCTTTCTAGGTATCAAGCACAGAGCAGCTACCTTGTAGAAAGTGATAACCAAGTTATGTATTTCAGTATTTCCTGTAGATTGTCATATTCATCTTGCAGGCTTGTCTTTTTTCAAGTAGGGTTTCATATTCAACCCTGACATTATCAAGTTACAGTTGTACAGCACCAAGTGGCAGGCGGTTGGGGGAGATGACCCTCATGATCCCTTCCACAATTCTATGATTGCAATCACCAAGCTTCCTGTGCTCCTAACTGAGGTGTCAGAAGATGAGAACCCAAAAGAAAAATGACCCAGCCCTTGGGAAACTGCTGCTAGGCAGGGCCAAGTCAGCAGTCCTCATGCCCTGTGCTCCTTTTGTAGCCTTTCAGTGTTGTACCATCTGTTATCATTAAGCCACTTACAGTGTCCAGCCCTAAAGTGTAAGCCTCAAGTGCATTCTGTTCACGGGCACATTCTTCACTGTCTGCCACGTAGTACCATTTCTGCCGCCCTTCCACGGAGCTGAATCGCCAGCGAGTAAGATCAGTTTTGGGTTCTATTTCATGTGCACCTTTTCTTCTGCGCAGACATCTGCCAAAGAACACAGAGGAGGTGGGGAGTTTGAAACATGCAGGCAGACTATCAGTTTGTTATCCTATCACAGGAAGTTGCAGATAGGTAGCCGTGTTGGTCTGCCATAGTCAAAACAAAAAAATTCCTTCCAGTAGCACCTTAAAGACCAACTAAGTTAGTTCTTGGTATGACTGGAAATAGACTGGAAAGAGAAGCTGCTGAATTGCAACTCATTACCAAACTTAAAACCATGGAGAGACCTGGTCTGAACAAAGACATTGGATTCTTATCTCATAATACATGACAAAGCCATTTTTCACCTTCTCACCCCTTGCTTTTTCCTGTAAGACCTATTGCAGTCGTTAAGAGTCGTCAACAGGCTCATCACAGCTATCTGCCAATCACCCATTCCCACCACCCTTCTGAGTAATACCCCTCCCCACCTTCTCACTATATAGAAGGATCTGGCAACTTCTGTTTCAGTGTATCTGAAGAAGTGTGCATGCACACGAAAGCTCATACCAAAAACTAACTTAGTTGGTCTTTAAGGTGCTACTGGAAGGAATTTTTTGTTTTGACTATCACAGGAGGTTATTCTGAACCCCATTCTGTGGTCCTTCCAGCCAGAAGTGAGGGACTGACATGTCTATTGATTTCAGTGGGTCTATTCATGACTAATTTGTCCACTGATTTCAGTGAGCCTACTCTGAGTATGGCATATTCATATACCACCCATAGATCCTTTGCTTTTTCTAACTAGCTCATTATGGAAACACTTCCTATTCTCTACAGCCATATTTTTGTCCCAGTTGTTCAGAGCAGAAAGCGGTTGACAGGGATGGCTTATGAGTCTCTTTTATATCCTGCTTCATTCCAATGACAGAGCTCATTTTAGGGTTCTTAAGTATGGAAGTCCAAGACTGATCAACAGGACTTATTCTCAGATAATTTGGCATAGGACCACAGCTTTAATTTCCAATCTGTCCAAATATGTTCATTTCCCCAAGTCTGCTCCTAAAACTGCCCCCCCATCTTCTCTTAGTTATTTTACAATATCTCTTCTAACTTGGAAATGATGAATTTTCACGTGTCTGTCTTTCACATTATCTCTTTGGTGGAATCTCTTGCATACGTTTCCTGGAGAAAAGCCCCAGTGAAATAGTGGTACTTAATTCTGAGTAAGCATGCATAGGATTGTCCTAGTAGACTATTCCATGTTTAAAATTTAGGGGTGATTTTCTCGTAATTGGCCTATTATAGGCCTCCACTAATTGAACTGTTTTAGACATCAATAATTGACTAATAATAAGGACCACTGATTCAGTTCCAAAGAGAGTTAATATGTATGTACTGTGCTGCTTTAGTAATTAATTTATATGCAGCCAGATATTTTGCCCATCTTCTAGTTATTCCCATCATTTATCAAATTGGGTTTGCTAAGTTTAACATCATCAACACATCTAGTTTCATGTCATTTCTCAACTGCAAATCTTTTTCTTCAAAGTTATTATAACCAATGAAACTTCTTTACACCAATTTTCATTTCTGTTCCTAATCACAATACAAAACTTCTGTTCTATTTTCCACAGTATTTCTGAATGAAGAAAAGCCAAAATGCTGCCTTTTTATTACTTAATACATCAGGTTAATTGCCCTTCCCATCTTATTTCTGTGAACTTCTCCTGTAATAAAGCTTGCTTAATCAATATGAATTAAGTCAAGCAACTGGCACACTTTATTTTATTTAACCATCATCCTAATCAAAGCATATAGATAGCACACAATGTACTTACGTCCCATCAGACATCTTCTTGGGTTGATGAAACTGCCTCAGATTGTTCTGGTTATATGTTAGATGGTGCCAGACAGGCACACAGGACACTGAATAGGACACTGAACTCTTGGACTCTGGGCTAGAGTTCCTGCTTCTGAAGGTCCACAATTCCTAAATCATTCAGGCTCACATCCAGTAAAATACTTGAAGGTTATATAAAGACTGACCTAACCAATCACAGCACGAATAATTTTACAGGGTGGGATCAGGAGTGTTAATGTAATCAATGAAAGACACACCCACAATAACAAAGGTCATTGTATGGCAGGGCTATCCTTGATGCATTGCACAAACTGGTTCTGGAGATAAAAATCTAACATGAGTAAAGTAACTTCCCCAAAGGATGTGTGTTGAGATTTCTTCAAGGCCAGACTCTTAGCTATGCTATCGGATCCTTCTACCCTAGCGCCCTATGAATGCTAATACAACATAACATGAAGATTTCCAAAAATGAGGACAACATCCACATATGGGAAGGAAGCAAATTGTATCATACGTAGAAATTGTGAAAGTGCCTCTTTTGCAGTGATGGTGCTTTTTGCAAGCTGTCATGCACCTGAGATCTAGGAAAATGTCTATATATATATTTCAAAACCTGGTTGCGAGTGCAAGGGTAAAAGAAAAATCTCGAAAATCTGGCCCAGGGGCAAATAAGAAGAACAGATAACTTTATCCTTTGCTCCACTGCCACAGTGCTCTGCTGTTAAGAGCTTTTTTTTTATGCCCCCAGTTGCATCAACCACCAAAGCATTTCTAAATATCAGCTCACTAAAGAATCCACCCAAAGTTATACAGCCTCAGATTAAGAGATGATTGAAATAAAAATGTATTAGGTTGATAGAACCGGTTTTATCTCCAGAATGCTTTAATTCAGGGGTAAAGCCAAACTGGTTGGTTTGCAATCCATTGTATTCCCAGGACCAATCACTCTCAGAACTGTCAATACAGTCTAAACATTACTCTTTTCATTAATCTTAGTCAAAGATCTACAGGGCTGAGTCACCATTTGAACATCACCGTCTCATGCTGAGATCCTGCACTGTGCATCCATGAACCTACTAGGAAAACCTACTAGGAATTATCTCTTGCTTCAAAATATTTGATTTCAGATTTCTGAATCACTATTTCCCCTGCACACATGCACATTTTTATTCAATTCTGATGTAAATAATCACTGATTTAGGTGTAGTCCTTTTCGTTTCTGTATATGCTATACTGACTAAATAATCTAGGCTTGGCTTTGGCTTTTATTTCATTGTAACCACTGTAGCACAGAGAATTCATAAAAGAGTTTTTTATACTGTGTTGTTCTGAGTGTATCAGGGCCAAAACAGAAGTCAAAGAGATGCCAAAGATGGGTGTATTGCCAGATTGCTTCCGCAAAGCGATTATATGCTTCTACAGCTGGCTAAATGTTTGACTATTGTCACTCATGTGAATCTGCTGTTTAAATTTATTGATTTCTTAATTTCCCCATTTTCTTTACATGCCATTCTGTTGTAATTGTCCACTTGAGGATTCTTCCACAGAGCCAACTCTTCATGGAAGAATGGGGCTGCATGTTCCTTATGATGTGGATACAGCTCTATTCTTCTATGTAGAGTTGACTCTGTGGAATAATCCTCAAGTGAACATTTAAAGCACATTTCTCTCTCCCAAAGGATCTGGGGAGATGTTGTTTGTTAAGTGTTCCTAGGATTCTTTGGGAAGGATGTTCTGAATGTGTGGTGCGTATATAGCCGAGGTGGGAAAGACAGAGAGCTACAAAGGGAATCCAAATTCATATCTCATTTGTCCTCACCATAACCTGGTGGTGTTGATTTAACTGAGAAGCACTGTCTGGCCAAAGTCATCCAAGCAACTTTGGGTGAATCTGCACTTGAATATGGGTCTCCCATGTTGACACCCAACACTGTGTTCCTACTAATAAGAAAACTTTATCTGAATTGGTTCTACCCTGATGTACTACTGTTCAGATAAACTGAAGAGTGCAGATAGACAAAACACCATGTTGCATCTGCACCAGCAAAGCCAGATATCTTCTGCAATAAAACATATCTCTCCCATATTGGTCTCTACAGCCATGGCAGGCACTATACCTCTCTAACAGTTTGACTTTACCCCCAATGGCGCACTCTTCCATCTTCTTTCAAGACAGGTGGATGCCTTCAAATAACTTTAATCACTATGCTCCACTGCACAATCCTACCTCTTCAAATCCTTACAGAAGACTTAGCCTTTATACACAAATCCCAGATGAATTCAATTGTCACACTCCTACCCCTTTTTGCTCATGCATGACTGACAGCCTTTAGTCTAAAAACAAGGAAAACAAGAATTTTGTGTCCAAAGACCAGAACAGTTCTGTGAAGAATTTGGAAAGCCAGGAGTTTTGTTGTTGTTCCTCATTTATCCAAAGCTATTGGTCATTCATTTGGGACATAGTGATTCATACTATGTTATATAAGGCAGGATTTATTAGGAATATACATGCCTATTGCTCATTGGTTCATACTTCAAATCTTCAGGGGCTATTTATTACAGTATGTCTGTAATTACATTAATTATGACACAGACATTATTTCAAGCTATCTTGCTATACTCATATATAACATATCATATAGATAGATATAGATAGATAGATAGATAGATAGATAGATGATAGATAGATAGATAGATAGATAGATACACACACACACACAAAACATAGTAGCAAACAAAAACAATACCCCAACACACACCACAGTTTAAAAGCCATTGATTGTTTAAGTACCCAAAGGTTAACCAGCAGCAAATTAACCTGAGCCTTGTCT